AAATAGCTAATCGGCGACATGTTGATGGCTGCTGCAACGCAGTACCGCATCTGGGGAGATGGAGGAGAAACTCACAGAGAGGCAAGTTAAGCACACAGAGAGTGGATTCATCTGGCCTTAGTGCCAGCACCATGACGGTATGGAATTTTACCTCCACAAACACATCTTCAAGCCTTGTGCCAGCGATGTTCAATCAAATGTACTTGTAATATAATTAACGAATGTTCATCGCAAGTCAGACGACTTTGGTGCAAGCCATCAGACAAACTGCCAAAGAATCGTTGGGTGGTTGTCAGCGAAGTCTTGCACTTGGTCCTCGAGACAACTGTCAAATCTGATTAAGCTGGATGGGAAGAGGTGAGAGAGGTAAGAGGGAGGACCAGGACAGCAAGAACATTTGCCAATAGGAAAGGCGGCAATGAAATATTGCAGTGTCCTTACCTCAGAAGCCCATTGCATCGACAATCTGGAGCACCTGAGCGCTCCGTAACGTTTGTCTCCGTGATTTGGCAGATGCTCGGAGGGTGTTCCACTAGAGATAATCGTCCACACACAAGCAACTGCAGGGAGGCACACCCTTGGAATGCAGTCGATGGTAAGGACATGAGAGGTAGATGCAACGTCAACTATGAGGAGCACATTTGTCGATGCATGAGAATGGCTTCTATCCATGGAAGGATGGCGAGGGGTACATGCTTCTCCGCCTGCCATTTACGCGCCTCTAGGATGGAGATGACACTTCCAGCATTAAGTGGGGATAATGTACTGTCCTAGGAGTAAAGAGGAGGGAGCGGGTAGTTAAAAGCAAAGTGAAGGGAAAGAGATTGCTTCTTCTTCTTCTGCAACGAGAAACAATGCTTTGCATCAATCACGGTGGGAATGGAGATTGGAGCAGGTGCTTGGATGCATTGACGCAAACACCAGCTTCATTTGCGATTACCATCTCTCTCTCTCTCTCGACTTGCAATCACTCACCCACAGACTCACAACATATCCACACCGCATTCCAACACAAGTGAATGAATCCAGTAGTGGTAAATGGTTTCAACCGTTTCCTCGATCTGTTACAAGTGAGGAATGCAAATTCTTGCACCGACTTTTGCAAAAGGAGGCTACCAACCTTACACTGCAGGTATGGAAATAATATCACCTTAACTAGTACATCCGACTTCCTGATTTGGATGGATAGGCCTGGGAACAATTGCCAACAAACAACAATCAAACCACCAAATGCAGAAACTTACACCTCGCTTACATGTTGCGGTCAACTAGCTGCACTTCTAGCCATGCATTCCATCTCCCTCTCCCTCTCTCCCTCCTCTTCCTTCCCATCACTCCCACGGATTGTCGTTTCATAACACATTGGCTATCTGCTCCTCTCTGCGCTCTCTTTTAGATTCCGCCATAGCATCAAACATGTCCGAATAGACACCGCTCACAGAGTGAGATAAACAAGTGCCTCCGTCACCGTAAATTCCATCAACACACAGGTAGTCCGACATCCATAGACTGTACAGAGTGGTGGAATGTGATGCCGCACAGACTCGGCGGTCAGTTTAACCACTTTTACTGGTGGCAGAAAAGTTGTGGGCGGAAGTCAACATGTGAAAGATAATCGTCGCCTTACTTCTTCCCATTCCCTTGCTACTTCACAGCAGTGCAGAGAACAGCGATAGCTCTACACGATAATGCTCGTTCCCGTCAATTACGATACCCCAAACTCCAACTTGACTTTCCATGATGTCAGCATCAACCACGTGCCTACACGTCTCCATTTGTTTTGCACTTGCACGTAAGGCAGAGTTGACGCAACTACTTGATTAAACTCATTCATATTTGCAGCTTAAACTATTGCGTCTAAGGCGTCTCTGTCACACTCATCAGGCATTCACTCAATGGCAGGAGAGCTCTTAACTGACAGGATGGAGTGGTGCAACTGCAAACCTCGTGCCTCATATTGTTGCAAGTAGGCTGGTGAATTGGACAGTGGAATGCAAGTTGGAAGCGAAGGCGGTTGTGGTTATTTGCCTGTCTTCTTGAGAAAACATCTGTCAAGTGTGTGCGTGTGTGTAGAATGGAACGAGATCGTGCCTCCATGTGCATGGCTCACACAGACCAATTTGCGCATTATAAGGTGGTCCATGTGCGGAAGTACAGCGTCTCATCCGAAGGTTGTATTTCACGCATCAGACAAGGCCTAAGTTAACCCACAACTAAATTGTTCTTTTCCTCTACTAGTACCACCAAGGCCAAGTCCCTCCTTGAAATATCCCACCACGCCCAACAACATAGATGGTTTGGCTCCGCCATGAAAGCCATCCATGACAATGCACGTCCTACCACTAACCACTTTCTTTACAATGCTACTTCATTTTAAACCTTCAGTTCCCCACAACTATACTATTCATGCAGTCCATGTACTCGGTCCATCAACTGGACTCACCATCGACCCATCCCACTGCCCCAAACCCACCCAACTCACTCCCAATCACACTAAAATCAGCAGAGACTGTGTGTGCTACAATATCATGCATTCTATTGACCATGCGTTAGCACTTAGCAAGGTGATAAAGTAAGGAAGAGGAGAGACACGCCAGCATTCACTCAGCCACGATTGCCCGTGTGGAGAAAGAGGACAGCATACCATCAGAACTCCTCGTGGAACGGATATTCCGGGTGATTCGCTAGACTACAAGGGGCAAAAATTCACGAGCATAAGCAAAATTGAGCGGCCACACAATGAGCCAACTTCATCACCCACACGTGACTACGTGTTAGGCGCACTTTATTCTGCACAAACCATGAAGTGCATAACTCACATC